GATATCGGAAGGGTGGAGGGAGGGTGGGGTGTAAAGGGGGAACCGATTACAAGGATCTACATATAACCCCTCCCTGGGGGATGGGCAACCGAAAAGTGGGTGAAGGTAGACGTCGGACAGTTTAAGATATGACAAAATAATAAATTATCAAGGGTTCTGTTTACTTTACTTGGTTGATAACTAAGTAATGTCGAACATTGACTCAAACTATCATCTCCTCTAGGAGGATGTCCGTCTCTATGATCTCAAAATACACGGCAACTATCACAATCATTAGATCAAAACAAAGCTTTCTACTCTCGTAGAGATCTAGTCTCGGAAACCCACAGGGCCGTTCTAGCCTGGCCTCTGGGGCTGCCATGAGCGAGAACTGACTCAATGGCAGTGCGCTTGTTTTCGGTGTTGCCACTACAGTCACAGTGATGTGTGTGCTGTATGATTTCTTTTTGGATCTGTCTCCTTCACTAAACAGAGCGATTCCGGCCCTGTAGCGCTGTGCCTAGCATAGCTTTTTTGTTTTTATTACTTCTTTCTCGCTAAATTAGTGTCTTTTATTAGGGGACAAATTATTGGATTGAACACATATTATTCATTATGTAACCCTCAACTAGTTATTTAAGCAATTTGAGTCTAAATGTCCTTATCTGTAAATCTGGCTAATTGCTTGTAGTTGGGAGGATAAATGAATGGATTTGAATTCACATGTAAAGTAGTCTAGTAAGCATCTATAGTTTAGTTATGTATGATAAAGATGTTGTTATGAAGATTTACTTCATATTTTCTCCTTTCGCCCCTCCGATCCAAACGGTATGTGTACAGTTATCAGGAGACTGCATCTCTGCAGTGCCGCTTAGCACTTATATTCCCAGGGCAAAAATCCAACCCAATGCTATGGAGTCACTTCTGATTCATGATGATCCTACATGGGCATTCCAGGCTGTAACGTTTTACAGGATCAGGAAACTCTGTCTTTCTTCATTGGTATAGCTGGTAGGTTTGAACTACTGACCTTGAGGTTAGCAGTCCAACGTTTACTGATGGTACCTTTGGGGATTGTTAAGGCCCAAAATGAAACTCAGAAATGAAACGCATTGCCATTGAGTTGATTTTGACTCATAGTGACCCTAGAAGGCATAGAATTACCCCTTTGGGTTTCCAAGACTTTGAATCTTGGAAGCTGAGTAGCTGGCCTCATCTTTCTCCTGTAGATCTACTGGTGGGTCGGAACTGCTGACCTTTAGGTTAGCAACTCAACACTACCTCGGTTTTTAGGGTCCATAATAGTGCACCAAAAATAGTAAATTAACTGAAGAAACATTAAATTGTTGCTCCCTACTGCTTTAATAGCAAAGGTAGGAGAAAAATCCAGCTAATTTCAAGGTGATTTACCTACATTATTTGTAGTAACAGTAATTTCATTCTGGGGTTAATCAACTCTGTTTGGGGGATTATGCACATAATCAAGCTAACTAGCATATTTCATTGGAGAAAACATTTTCTTTGGAATAGCAGGAAAAAAGTTGTGTTGACGGTACCAAAGCAAACAGCCCCATGTAAATCTGTGATGTTTTTTGTTTGCAACATCCCTCCTTCCCTCCAGATCTCGTATTACATTGACAGGCCCTACCCTAATACTACGCTCTGCATAGGGACGTGTCACTTCAGATAGGTAGAGGGCACCCAGATCAACGAGTTCCTCGTCAGATCTAAAGGGAAGTTCCCTAGCAATCTCCTTGCCATCACCACAACCAGGGCCAAGTGCTCATTTCCAAAGGAGCCCTGGTGTGACTCTACTGAATAAGTGCTGGACCGTTAACTGCAAGGTCAGCGGTTCAAACCTCCCAGTCCATCCACGGAAGAAGGTTGAAGAGAGCTGCCCCTGTAAAGAGGTACAGCCTCAGACACCCAAAGGAAGGTTGACGCTGAGTCAGAATTAGCTCAATGGCAATAAGTTTGGAATTTTGGTTAAAGGGATCCTCACACAGAAGCACAGATTTTTACCATTTTGGTCCCCTTTACATAAGACATTCTGGGGGGCCCTAGTGGATTAGTGGAGTGCACGTTGGGCTGTTAACACTCAGTTGTGCACCAGTGCATTCCAAGCACCTGCAGTAGTGTCCATCCTGTCTATGGGCATAAAAATTTAGATGGAATTATGCTTGTAGTATCTATTTATCGCTTTTATAAAACTCACTATACTTTTGATTAAATACTACATTTTTATTCTGTTGCTTTTGTTCCTTCAGTAAACAAACATATAACACAAAGAGAAAAACTGCCAAATAACCAGAAGGTCACAAGCTGTCATTTGTTTCAGCTTTGTGTTACACCCCAAATTCCCATGAGATACTATGAGCAAATTATGCAACTCTTGAAAGTTCAAAGAGCTAAAAATATTCAGAACAATTGCTGTAAGTTCAGCAGAAGTGGGAAGGGGTTTTTCAAAGAAGAACATTCATTCAGAGAGGAGCAGCTGCCTGTTGCTAAGCTATCAGACACAATGACTATTCTCTAGTTGGCCAACCCCGGAAGGAGTGGGACCCTACTCCTACAGTGTAAAGATAGTCACGGATAAATCACACAGCTGATGATGCTTGGATACGAGAGAAGGACACCACTCAAGTAGAAATATGGAAAAAGGAAAAAAAAGGAAGGAGAAGCAATATGGAAATACCTTCAGTAGCAGCTTCAGAGGGTTTTTTTTTGCCAGGTTTTATTTTATATTTTTTCATTAATATTTTAAACCTCTTTCTTATAACCTAGCTTTTCTACTCAAGTTTTTTTTATAATATAAGCTACTTCTTTTATTGTTCTTATTTAAGTATTAACTAGATGAGATAATAAACTACCTTTAGGTAGATCATTTTTTAATACTTAAAATGGTCAGTAAGGCAGTGCATCGGTTGTCAAATTATTTGAGTCCCACCACTGGGCAGTTCTACCCTGTCCCATAGGGTCTCTGTGGATCAGAATCGACTGGACGGCAGCCCGTTTGGTTTTATTTTTGGAGTGCAGTGGCTATGGGACCCTGGTGGCATATTGGGTACCTTGCTGGGTAAGCATGCTGACGGTGCAAATCTACTTAGCAATAGAGCACTGGGTTTGTTTGACTGAGGTGAAGAGACTCTCCCCGCGGTTTGCCGACTTCTAAAGCGTTGCCTCTGGCAGGAAATCCTGAGGACACCCCACAGAGAAAGAGCCTCCTTTAATGGCTATTACTGAAATCACGGTGCAGTCATTTTATAAGCAACTCATGACTAATCATTCTGACATCCACTTGGTAAAGCGAGATGCACAAGCCAAAGTTAAAGTGATATTTTAAAAACGACGATAAGCTATAAAAAGGCTATGTGCCAATGTTTGGGGAGTGATGAGAGGATCCATTTTAAAGTGGATAACACTGATTAACATGCAAGCGTTGGCTGTTTCATAGTGTGGATTCTCGCAACTGAAAGGGTATGGTATGTCAATTATGTATTTCCAATACACTTCATTGTGCATATCCAAAATTATACCGGTAGTTCTCTCTTAACATGAAATAAGTATTTTTATTACAGAAAACGGCCACAATTATTTACATGTGCACTACTGGGGGTATTCTCAAATATTTGAGTTGCAGGCAGGGAGACTTTTGTTACACTTTAAAAGGCGATCAATGGTGACTACAAATGATGGCTATTTGTCGATTTCTTTCTTGTTCAATGAGCGGGAGGGGAAGGGAGGAAGTGAGGAGAGTTGATGAAGAGACACCCCCACCCCAGTATAAACACACGATTAAGGAAGCATTTCTGTGGTAGCTAATGTAGAATGGTCTTCTTTGGTGATCAGTACTGAAGTGCACTTAGGCATGCCACAGATAGCTAAAAGCAGTGAGATGGCATTATCCCTTTGAGGGGAAACCAGTAAATGATACCCTTGACACACAAAGAAAGGGGAAAAAAGGAGAGGGGGCTTACTTTCTGTTCCTTTTCCGGACTCGGCTGTAGGCTTCCAGACCTCCCGTTAGTGTCTTCAGCTTCTCCGACTCCACCTGATGAAGGGATGAAGGCCAAACCACGTTACCAGACCTGAAATGCTGAAACGCCGCCGTTTGCCCTCCCTGATGCTCATGCAGGTGCTGCACTGGGGGTGAAGGGGCTATATTTACACCACCCTGTCAAATGCCTGTCCTTGTTCCCTCGAGGTTGACTGGGTGGCTCTGGGTGGCAATCAATGGAAACGAAAGACCAAGTGGCTTTGAAAATGTCAACCTTTTGAAAATCACGTTTGGGAACAAAACCTGAAATTTAAATAACCTCCCCCAAACCACAGACCTCAGTGATCCTGCCTCACTTTCTCTCCAACTGGTGCTGGGAAGCTGCAAATGTGGCTGCCCTCGGGGGAGGACAACAGGGGTGGTTACAGTGAGTGGTGTGGGCTTTGGAGATGGTGGAGCCGAGTTCGAATTCTGCTTTCTTACTTTCTGCCATGAGTGAAATGCTTGGATTTTGTGAGCGTCGGTCTCTTCCGCTTTAAGACAAGGACAATAATACCTGTCTTTCTGCTAGAACTGTGAGGATTTGAGTACGTCAAGTCATGTTGACCACCTACACTAGCGCCAAGAGATCATGGTTACCAAGTATGCATGAAAGGATCCCTAGTGCTGTAGTAGGCTATGCACTGATCAAGGTCAGTGGTGGGATGACCGCAAGGTCAGTGGTGGGAACACACTGGTGGTCCCATCAGAGAAAGATGACATAACCTTCTTCTATAGAGTGTTGGAAACCCAAAGTTCTACTCTGTCCTGTAGGGCGTCGGGGAGTTGGAATTGACTAGCTGGCAGTAAGTAAATATTCCTTGGGTTCTGCAGAGGGCACAAAACAAGTGGGGCACTAGGCCATCCACAGCCCTTGTTGAAATAGGAGAAGGGTGTGTCTGTATCTTATGGGTGTGTCTTCTTCTGGTCCTGTGTTACCCCTGTTAGACTGGCATCTCCCAACAGGGTGCCAGCAAGTGGTGCCTGGGAGATGGGGTGAGGGCTGCCTGTCCCCCTCTAAACCCAATGTTGGCAAGTTGATTGTGACTCATAGTAGCCCCCTCTACCAGCCCACCAATTTCTATCACGACTCCTTCAGTCACTCCTAAAAAACAATGAATAAATAAAACAATTTAGATATAACATAAATAAAAATGCCTGTAGAAAAAGATTGCTATTTTTATCGACCTGTTAAAAACAAAACCAAAAAACAATAAAGCAATTGAAGTAGAAACAGTGCTGCTTGCTGTGCAAACACAGCTTCAAAGCCCGTCTCTCCTAACCTTCATTTCTCCCAACTCTGCCCCCACCCCCAGCCACTTTTATACAAAAATTCAAAGGTCACCAATTCCTCACAGGTAAGAAAATAAACACCATTAAGCAAGATAACTATCAATTATCCTCTTTAAATCTTCTGGACTGATCATGAATATTATTTTGAATTTTGTTTTGATATTTTCAAATCTAGTAAGAGTAATGATTAACAAAAGATTTCCATAATAAGTCTGAAAATGGCATTTCTAAATACTCAGTGAGAAAAGCCCTAAACCATAGAAGTTTTCCATCTCAGTGAATTCTGCACTCCGTTGAAAAAGACCCAGCTATATTCAAGTACATTGGGGCTACCAAACCCATTGTATGCCAGCACAAGAAATAACAGCTTCAATAACATTTCACTATTAATTTACAATAGGAGCCACAGAGGAAAGTGTCTTAGTGTGTTGTCTGGAAAATCTCAAGTCGTGTGTTGCAAAAACAAACAAACAAACAAACAAACAGAAAGGAGAAAGATGCTTGGCTATCTATCTTTTCACATTTCTTGTAGAAATGGGGTTCCATCTTATATTCTCAGTTGGGAATTTCTAACATTTCCATGAGATGTAGGGAATATGAGAGATGTTTCACACACTAAAGCAATCTGCTGCTAACTCCACTTACATTTAAATGACTTTCTTGACAAAAGGAAGGAAGCTCTTCTATAACAAAATTGGTATTAGACACAACAGGACCCCTGGGTGATTGAAGGAGACACCTCAAAAGGGACTCATCCAAACAACAGACAGCAGAGTCACACCGAGTCAAAGAGGGGGCACTTACTCCAAGGGTCTTCATTTAAAATTTTAAATTGGGCTAAAGGACAATTTAGGTCTTCAAAATTTTTATTTAAATAAAAAAGAAGAGGGAGGAGTTAAGAAAACGTTTCCTGTGTATTCACTACTTGAAAGACATTGGTTTATAGTACAATTATATAACCAGGATCATTTTTATTGTTTTACAGAGGAGATTGTGAGTTTAAGTAACATGGTCAGAGTTAAAACTCAGTTCCGACTTTAAAGAATTCAACCTTTCCCCACCACCGTCACAACACCACACATTGAAGTAGATAAGCATTACACACAGATATCACTAATTTGTCAGCTTGTTGAACTGCAGTGGCTTTCGTGTTGTTGTGATGCTGGAAGCTGTACTACCAGAAGTTCAAATACTCGTAGGGTCATCCATGGTGCACAGGGTTCACCAGAATTTACAGATGAGGGAGAGGGCCTGGTGATCCACTTCTGGATAAACTGGCCACTGAACACCTTATGAATAGGGACAGACTTTGTCTGATGTAATGCTAGAAGATGGTCCCCTCTCCCCCAGTTAGAAGGTACTCAAAATACAACTAGGAGATCTCCTTAAAGAAGAGTCAACTGAATGATGTGGTTGAAGCAAAGCTTTCAGAACCTCCACCTGCAGACGTGGCATGAGTCAAAATGAAAAGAAACAGCTGTTTATATGAACAATTATAAGGTGGAATATATGAAATATCAGTCTAGAAAAATTTAAAGTCATCAAAAATAAAATGGAATGCAAAAAGATTGATATCCTAGAGATGATTCATTTTTAAATGGACTGGTATTGGCCATTTTTAATCAGACAGTGATATAGCCTACTATGCTGGGAATGACCAAATGAAGGTGAATGGCATAATCTTCGCTGTAAAAACAGTTCAACATATAGCCTGAAATACAATGCTGTCAGTGATAGAAAAATATCCATACCTACAAGGAAGACCAATTAATATGACTACTGTTTACATTTACACACTACAAGTTAACGCTAAAGATGAAGAAATTAAAGAGTATTCACCAACTTCAGCAATCTGAAGTGACCAATCATGCTAGTCACGATGCACTGATCATTACTGGTGATTAAATACAGAAGTTGGAAACAAAGAATATATGGAAGTTGGGAAATATGGCTTGTCGATCAAAAAATAACCCTGGAGAATCACATGATAGAACTTTGCATGGGCAATGATTTTCTCACTGAAAATACTGCTTTCAACAACACTAACGGCGAGCTATACATGTGGACCTTGCTGGAGGGAATATACAGGAATTAAGCGGATTCCATCTGTGGAAATAGACCATGGAGATGCTAAAGATTATCAGTCACCAAAACTAGGGGCCAACTGTGGAACAGAACATCAATTGCTCATATGCAAATTCAGTTGAAGCCGAAGAAAATTAAAACATATCCACAAGAGCCAAAATATGACCTTCAGTATATTCCACTTGAATTAGAGATTGCCTTAAGAACAGATTTAATCATTGAATATTAATGACCAGTTGTGGAATGACATCAAGGACAGAAATCAGAAGGTCATTAGAAGGACAAGAATGAGAACACCAAAACGGGGGCTCCAAAACTTGCTCTAGAAGCAGAGAAGCTAAATCATAAGGAAGAAATAATGAATAAGAGAGGTCAAGAGAAGACCTCAAACGACAGCTTGATTAGATAAAGTATGAAAGGAAATATGTAGTGGCTTGGAGTTAGAAAACTAAAAAGGAAGAACAGGCTAGGCATTTCTCAAACTGGAAAGAAAGAAAACAAAAAACAAGGAAAATATTCAAGCCTTGAATACAGTATTAAAGGATTCCATGGGAAAATATTGAACAATGCAGGAAACATCAAAAGGCAGAAGGAATACATAGAAGCACTATACCAAAAAGAAATGACCAGTGTTCAACCATTTTAGGAGGGAGCATATGATCAAGAATTTGTTGTATTTAAGGAAGAACTCCAAGTTGCATGGAAGGCATTGGTAGAAGACAAAGCTAAGGGAATTGACAGAATTTACAACAAATGGATACAGGGCTGGAGGTTGTCACTAATCCACTGATCTACCAAGAAATTTGGAAGACAGTCACCTGGCCAACCAACTCAAAGAGTGCCCGTTCCAAAGAAAGGTGACACACAGAATGTAGACATTATTGAACAATATCACATACATGCAAGTAAAACTTTTTAGACAATAATTTCAAGTTATGCAGCAGTACATCTACAGGGAATTGCCAGAAATTCAAGCTGGATATGGAAGAGGAAGTGGAATGCGGGTAAGCATTACTGATGTCAGATGGATCTTGACTAAATGCAGACAATACCAGACAAATGTTTACCCATGCTTTATTAACGATGCAAAGGTATTAGACTGAGTGCATCATAATAAATTATGGATAACATTGCAGACAATGGGAGTTTCAGAGCACTTTAAATGTGTTTATGTGGAATCTATACATAGACCAAGAGGTAGTCCTTTGAACAGAGTAAAGGCTAGTGTGTGGTTAAAATTAGGAAAGGAGTGTGTCAAGGCTGTATCCTTTCACTATACTTATTCAATGTACATGCTGAGCAAATAATCCAAGAAAACAAAAAAACCAAACTCACTGCCATCACATGGATTCTGATTCACAGAGACCTATCTGGCAGAGCAGAGCTGCCCCTGTGGGTACCCGAGACTGATGACTCTAAGAGTAGAAAGCCTCCTCTTGCTCCTGCAGTGCAGCTGGTGTGTTCAAACTGCTGCCCTTGTGGTTAGCAGTACAGCGTGTAACACACTATGCCACCATGCTCCTCTATAATCCAAGAAAGTGGATTGATATGAAGAAAAACAGCATCAAGATTGGAGGAAGACTCATTAACAACCTAAGATATGCAGATAACATAACCACGCTTGCTGAACGTGAAGA